TGCGTAGAATTAATTGGAATTTTTCACACACAAGCCTTGCTATATGAGCTCTCAAAGCATATAAAAATTATACGGCTTAAATGTGAAGTTGGGTGCAAAAGGATACAATTAAATCCTCTGTCGGGAAAAAACGAAATGACTTTCCGAACAACCCTATAGAATATGCAGTTGTTCTATATCCTATTCTTTATTAACCATTTGCTATAAACCTGACAGCCTGGATGATGTTTCGTGTGATCAAAACGAAACGTCGGCAACTACCAGTATAATGAATTGTAAAAAGAATCCTGAATTTTGCTGAAAGACTTAATTGTTCTTCTGTTCTCTAATTTTTGTCATAGTTTTTCCTTTCATTTCTTCAAAAGTTGTAAGAATGTTTATTAGATAGCAAAAGAGTTCAAAACCATTGAAAAACAATTCATGTAATTTCCCAAATTTATCCAAATTACACCTTTTGGAAACCTTCATTACTACGAGTTTGTTTCACTTCCGAATAAATTTTGTAGTCTGAGTTCGTAAATTAATAAAAAATATTTTAAAATTTCTTTAGAATAAATGTCGTAAATTAAATCGATATTGCGAGGGGACAAGCTGTTGTATTACCTGGTAGTGTCAATTCTCCAAGAGTCTTGTAAACATTAAGACTAGTCTCTACAGAAAATCTGTACAAATAAATAGGCGATGTTGACGATTCAATATGATTCCTAATACTATGGTAAATCCCCCTGAGAAAGAAATTATCTGTATGCATCTAGAAAATTAAAAATCCATGAATGAANCTCCAAGAGTCTTGTAAACATTAAGACTAGTCTCTACAGAAAATCTGTACAAATAAATAGGCGATGTTGACGATTCAATATGATTCCTAATACTATGGTAAATCCCCCTGAGAAAGAAATTATCTGTATGCATCTAGAAAATTAAAAATCCATGAATGAAATGACAAACACACGTCTTTATCACAATACAAAGAGGCCAATTTATCGTACATTAAAAGTGGGACATAAATATAAAATTTCAATAAACAGAATTTTTCGAAATGGATATCTCATATATTTATTACCTACCTACTCTTTATCTCTGTTTAAATTATAAAACAGAATAATGTCATCAAAAAACAACAACATCGTACGCATATTTAATTTTATCAAGAATTCGAAAAACAATTAACATTAAATTAATAATTTGATATCGAACATGTATTAGTTCATGTAATCATTAGTCAAATTCATCACGCTTTTTACGTACCTACCATGTAATATTTATCTAAATTGTGCAGTCCCGGTTCGTCGGAACCAAAATAAAATTGCTTAATTTTTTGCGCAACTAATTTTGATGAATAGCTGCCTTTGGAAAATCCTAGAGCAACAGGTACTGTCGTTTCAAAGTCTTCTACAATTTTTATTTCACCGGCAGTTTTTTTGTCGAACAGAGCCAGAATCATTCCTTCTCTAGTTGCATAACCAAATATCATGGGCACTTTATTGTAATTTCCAGATAATAAAATGTCAATGGGGTGACTAACAAGAAAATTTAGTTCGTGTTTTGAAGTTTTTTCTATAACTGGACCGTTAGGCCTTAATTCACTGGCATAGTAAACCTTAAAGGAAACCATTGAAAATTATTTTCATATAACCATCAAATGAAATTGAAAAGTTTGTGATTTTTTTTTGATACTAGTCTATTAAAATAGCCGACAAAAGGGGGTATGTTAACGTTTTGGGTAAGCAGCAATTGTTTTTCTTGAATATCAATTAGGGGGGTAATGGTAAGTGTAAAAATCTGAGGGTTATTTGTAGGATGCTAAGCCCCTCAATATTAAATTATCATTTTTCAGTGTTAGTTTTTGTAAATAACATTTAAAGTAAGATTATGCCCATGAGATAAATTGTCGGAGGGTCTAAGGGTTATTTATAAAGTGGGAAACCCTCCAATATTAAATCATAATTTTTCAGGGGAAGTTGTTTCTGTTTTACAATTCTATTTTATATCTAAGCTCTAAAAGTCATTTAAGTTAAGATAAGAAACGTGAAATAATTTATCAGTGCGTTTAAAAGATCGTTATAGGGTGCTAGCTAAACCCCTCAGTATTATTTATTACTTATTAGTGGATGTTTATCATGTCCCACAATAATTTTTTTTTGTATCCTATCTATACGAGTTTTTTAACGTAGGATTATGCCTATGAGATAATTTGTCAGCAGGTTTGGGGGTTATTTTTGCCCTATAAAATTTTTTTGTATCTTAGCACCAATACTCATTTAACGTACGATTATGCTTATAAGATAATTTGTCGGCGGATCTAAGGGTTTTATACAGGGTGCTATACCCTTCAATGTTGATTTATTATTTTTCCATGAAAGTTTCTTTTCTCACAAAAAAAAATTGTATCCTAGCTGTAATATCTGTTGATATTTATAAAAAATTTCATTTAAGGATGTTTGGCAGGTATGTCAAAATGCTACGAGACAAATAAAAATTTGGAAGAACGTTCCTCATTCAATTTTAAAACTCCTGTAAAAATTACAAATCGATTTACTAAACCGTTAAAAAGTTATTGAAATTTTAAAAAATTGTAATTTTACACGTCATTTTATGGAGATTCGTTAACCGAACAGATTAAATTTATTTTTATTAACAGAAAAAAAGCTACCAGAAATTTCAAACTTTTATAATAAGTAACTTGAACTCTGGAGAATCACTTTAGCGTAAGGTTATTCAAATTCACTAAATGGTTATCGAGAAAAAAATGAAAAATTAGCTGAAAATCTCGTTTTTACTTGATAATATAATGATAATATTTATAATTGTCTGAAATAAATGCAATTTTAAAGTTTTAATTATTATTTAAACATATTAAAAAGTTTTACGCTCATTATTAATAGAGATTGAAACTAAATATTTTTTTGTTTCGAAGTTGAAATTAAGGCATATTCACTGCCAAAAGTCAGTTAAAAATTTTCCATATTATTCGTTATTTCTTATTTTATTCAAAGTTTTTGGTCAAATTCCAAATTTTCTCTCAAACCGTATACTTTTTCTTTAGTATAGATAGTATTTATTTACCTCATGATATGCTGCAAAACCTAATTAATCACGAATTTCTAATTTTATGTACTCTTGTCTCCGATTGTACCTCCCAAACATCCTTAAGTAAAGTATGGCTATAGGTTATAGATTAATTAATAAATTAGACACATTTTTTGTGCTGGAACTTGGTTAGCTACGAGAATAAATAAACTTCTTCTAAAATCTAATTGTGGGGGGGAGGGTTGCGACTGAGTTTTATGGTTCCTAATACACTCCTTACACAATAAAAAAAATTGCTATCTACCCAAATTGTGAACTTTAAGTACCGTTTGACCGGCCTCAAGTACGTAGATTATGGTCAGTATCAAAATAAATTTCTTATTGCTTACATCCTTTATTTCTTCTTGGGCTGCGAATAATTTTTCTACCGACATTTCTTTTAAAATTTTTAGAAGTTCTTTCTCGGTTGCAACATTACATTCTAATATTTTCGCCAACTCCCAACATATTCGCCTACCTTGAGCCCAAGAATTTAGTGCGCAGCCACTTTGGGCAATTGCTCGGTGAAACAAGCCTAAAAATAGCTTTTTTGACCTTTGATTTCTTATGCTTATCAATTTGACAAGTTTACCTTTTGCCATAGGCGATAAAACTAAATAATGCACAGCTGCAGCACCAGCACTTTGTCCAAAAATGGTTACATTATTTGGGTCACCCATAAAAAAGTGAATGTTGTTTTGGACCCATTTAAGAGCCATTACCATATCTTTTAAGCCAGCATTTCCTGGTACACCCAATTCAGGGTCATCTAACGCCAGAAATCCTGAAAACTTTTATGATGATTATCTGTACACAAAATGGAACGAGACGCTTTGTTTTGCAGTCGTTTCTTGTACTTTATTCTATTGGTTTGGTTTGTATTTACTTATAATGATGCTCCAAGGTTTTTATTATGTTTTGAATCAGGGAATTAAAATTCTTATTGAATACCTAGTACTCCTAATCGATAATTGAATGATACGAAAACGATATCCTCTGGAAGTAAAAACTCTGGCCCGTAAAACTCTAATTTACTAGAACCAGCGTTAAAACCACCACCATGGATCCATACCATTACAGGTTTAAGTTCTTTTGTTTTGTTCGTATTATTCGGTAACTGCAATAAATCTGTTATGGTCATTAATATTTGAATCCTATTATGATGTTCATAAAAAATTCATACTTCTGGAGTGAAAACGTTGAGAAAGAGGCAGTCCTCAGAGCCTACTATATGTCGGAGAACTGGATGCCGTGAATAGCATTCGTCGCCTTCTTCAAAAGCGTTTCGGATCCCGGACCAACCTTCTGGGGGCCGAGGGGCCTTAAATGTAGTTATTGTTTCTCAAGAAGAAATAAAATTTTCTTTTTAAATATGCTATTCAAAATTATGAGAAAAATATGTTTCTAATCTCAGTGACAATCATATTATAGATATGTACTTATCTATAGTTTAATTTTTTTTTTGAAAATTTGAAATATTTGAATTTGCTTCCTTTAATTCAAATTTGAATGTCCAAGCTCAACTACAAATGCCTTATAAGTTTTGATGATTTCTGATACTTCGGACGTGTAGACAGACAGTCTTCCAGACAGACCGACAGATAGACGTACATACATACAAATAGATAGTCAGACAGACAGACAGACAGACAGACAGACAGAAAACGAAGTAATATGTTAGAAACGAATTTTGTATTTCAGATTTNCGATTCAAGGTTAGTTTCGTTTTTTAATTAATAAAGTTGATTGTTGTTGTCTCATACAAATGAACATCGGGCACGAACAATTCAACCTACTTCGTTGTAGAACCGTAATTAGTTTAAAATGATTGAAACAATCGTTAATAAAAGTTAACAAGTAATTAAATGAGTTAATAATAATTTCCATGTTCGATGTTCTGATTTCGTGAAATTGTGGATAGGTACTATGTAACAGTTTCCGTTTTTCCACGTACGAAACCCTAAATAAATATGCAGTTATAAAATTGTATGTATGTCTGGTTTAATCACATAAAACTCTAATCGCATAATTTTCAAGACCTTGTCAGTCGGTACGTTTTATTACAACGACAATCAATCAAGTTGATCAGTTAATCTTAAGCCTTAATTGCATGTAACTATTCCAAGAAAAGTACACTGTCATTTAGTTTTGTCTTAATAATATTTCAATTCGAACGTTGCCTACGAAATTCTTACATCATATATTGTAATATTTAACTTCAGTTTGCTATTAAGCTGCAAAGTTATAAAATTTTAAAAAGTTCTTTTATGAAAAGTTTCATAAATTGCAAAACTAAGTTTTTATTGGGTAAAAGAAAATAAGTAAGAAACATTAAATAAAACTGTGATTCTTACTTAAATGATTCAAATTTTACACTTTTTATTGACAATTGCTTTTTGATAAATACCATTTGGAATTGTTGTATCTTTCAGCAATGATTATTATAATGTTTTGTTACCTTAAATCTCAAATCACCTAATGGTGGTTTAGCGTAAGGGATACCAAGAAAACTGTAATATTTTTCACCCGCATGGTCCTGACCAATAGATCCCCTGAGAACCCCTTGGTGAATAGTTACTGTAGGATCATCCATTCTTGTTATATCACAGAAAATAGAAGAATTGATGAATTCTTCAACAAGAACAAAAACAACAATAAGCGACAACTGTACAAGTATTTTCAATCAATAAACACGTGTTCGTCAATATTTTATTAACTTAACGGCAACTAAACTAGGTATAAACTAGTAATTTGAAGGTACAATGACTATAAACATTTCTCCTTAACAAATGTTTGAATATGATAAGATAACACATCACCATAGCGAAATGTACATATGTTGTTATTCATAAATATTTAGTCATCTTCATCAGGTACCAATGTAAGGGAAAACTTATAATAAAACTGAAGTTCATTTTACGTAGGGATGATAAATATAGTTGTTACTGTTGCGTTTTTTACCCTGTATACTAGGGTGGCGCATAAAAACCAACTTTTTTATCAATTTCGCTTGAAAATCTATTAATTTCAAATAATTAAATGTTTTTTTTTTTTTAATTAAAAATCATATTTATCAAACAAAATAAGTTAACTTTAAAGTTTATTTTCTTATCATATATTTATTTTTAAAATTGACAATGATTGTCAACAGAGCCGGACTGAAGATTTTGCCCCGGGGTGCGATGTAACCAATTTTCTCTTTTTTTTCACATTTTTTTGAGTCATTTGGTCCGGGAGGCATTTTGCACCCCTGCAACCTGGGCCAGTCCGGCCCTGATTGTCAAGATTTTAAAAATAAATAATGGAAATTATGCTTGAAAATTAACTTACTTTGTTTGGTATCTGTTAGTTTATTATTACGGTTTAAGAATGCTCTCAAAAAATTAGCACTATTTAAATACCTATTAGAGGTCTCTAATGAATTTCAAAAATTTGAAAAAATTGCTATTAGGTTGTTTGTAATATTTGGCATAAATTTTAACTCAAGGTGTTCATGACAAATAGGGTTTTGAATTTAGTTCCGGACTATTTTCAAAATTTGAAATATACGACGAACCCGTTTCGAATAGATTTGTAGGAAAAGACAATACGAGAATTTAAAAATATTCAATTAGTCTCAGATCATTGTTGAATTTTTCAAGAAAATGCAAATACAGGCATCAAAATTGCCACTAGAAATCGTCCTTATTGTTTCTATAAAATCTGGTTAATATACATAGATGGAATATTACCTGAATCTTTAAAATATGCATAAATAAAGTTACAAAACAAACAAACATTATGTTTTACAGTAAATCAGATGTGATTTTTCTACTGTTTTGTGATTTTGTGTATACAGATGTACTTGTATTTAATGTTACAGATAATTTTATCTTTATATTGTTTTGATTTTATGGGAATGAAAAGAAAATTTTGCAGTCGCCAATTCGATATATTACAATTAGATTTTGTAATTTTTGACCGCTACCCTGAAAATATACATCAAAGTTGGATTTTGTTGAATAAAGATTGATTTCATATCTCGGGAGCCCAGATTTTTATTTACTACAGCAAATATCGAGGAAATTATTTAAAAATACCTTTTAAATGGGTTTTAAACGACTGCACTCTAGATGTGGACCCATCAGGTTAAGAAACTTCATCGTAGGGTTTACGTTTTTCATTTAGTGATACGAAGACATAAAAATTATTTCAAATTATATTTATTATCCCATTTCGGCAGTAAAGGTGTCATAGGTCAAAGCCGTTGTTATAACCGAAAAATAAGATTGGGGAATTTTTAAAAAAAAAATTATTTTTGTCTACCTATTATTTTACACTGAGAAATTGACCGTGTGGACTTCAAGGGTCGCACTTGACCCCTTTTTGTTATTTTTGTAAAAAGAAAGTAAATGCGATGAGTTATCTATGTCGTTACGATATTATAAAGTGATTTTAAATTTCGCAATCAATTCTTCATAGTTCATGTTTGATATTACTTATCTGTATTTATAATTATGTAGGTGCAACTTTGTGTAATAATTAACAAATACTAGTAACATGCCATGTCATACTTCGTGTTACTGCATTATGTATAAATGTAAAACATAAGTAGCTTCGTGAGTAAATAACAGTATAAAAATTCAAGAACGAACGAATTCTGTTGTTTTTACGTGTATGTGCGTTAAAAAGAATTTGTTGTTTTTTTTATCTACTCCACTTGTTAATAATGTTTTCCGCTTCAAGCCCGGATTTACAGTAAGCGGAATCAATATTCGTCCGCAGTCTGTTTCGACAAAAGCGCTGATGATGGGTGAACCGATTGTAAAAGTTAAACAGGGAAAATTGCGGGGAAAATTGACGGAAAATATTCGAGGAGGAAGTTATTACTCATTCCAAGGTATTCCTTACGCTAAACCGCCCATTGGTAATTTACGATTCAAGGTTAGTTTCGTTTTTTAATTAATAAAGTTGATTGTTGTTGTCTCATACAAATGAACATCGGGCACGAACAATTCAACCTACTTCGTTGTAGAACCGGACAAATATAAAACCAGCGTTGCCAAATGATTTTTTTTATTCCATAAATTTTTGCCGATTTTTCCTTAGATTTCCCGAGTAATACCTACAATAAAATAGACTTATGTATGAGAATATGGGGTATCCATCAAGGAACTACAGAAGCAAGGTGGTGCAACAGATAATTTTACACATGAAGATCTTATTAATTTATTCACAGCATTAGCGAATTCCAATCTAAGAAATTTGAAAACAAAAGATCTTTTTTTAGTTATTCCTGACTGTATAAAAAGCACAAAAAGATTAAATCAAATAAGAAATAGATTTAATTAACACTAATTTTAATTTTTAGTATAATTCCTTTTTGTTATTCATTGCTTAGAAGTATCTTACAGATTTTAACTATACTGTAAATTGAAAAATCCTTTTTTCATAAGTTGGCTCTAAATTCTCTTAAGTTTCTAAGGTCTAGCAACGTCGGTCAAAACTATGTTTAAAGACAAAGACAAAACATCTTGTTTGCGCATACTGCATTATGTACTTCCTTTTTAACTGTTTTGTATTTTTTATTCTCAAGATGAGTCATATTTTTGTGCGTTAAAAGTGTGGGTCAGTGTTGCCAGATGGTCTAAGTAAAAGTTTTCAGAATCCACAATCAACTTAACATTGAAACCATTACATAAACTGTACCTATTTTACTGGTATTTAAGGATGACAACAACTAATATAGTGACAGCTGAATTGTTGTTTATTTTGATTATAATGAAGGTTGTTTTGATTGATTTCAACAAAAGTGGGTTATTTTTAGATTATATTAGTTATTAATTAAAGCAATTTAAAATTAAAATGAAATTATGCGGTCTTCTTTTGGATTGAAAACAGATTAAGACCTAAAGAGGTAAAAATTTGGTAGAGGTCTAAATGATGGCCCCCATCCCTTTCGGAGGTGGGGGTGGGTGGGATCGAAAGAAGAGGTCTCCCCCACTGTACCATAAAAAGTTCGTGGCGGTCTCACCCCCCATAAAAAGTTATGGGGGTCGAAAGTTGATTATTTTCATACACTATAATTCAAATAAAATTCAATAAAAAAAATATTTTCAAGCGGGTGGAGGTGGGGGATCGAAAGAGGGTGGTCAGTTGAACAAAACCCGATAACATAACCTAACCTATTGATAAAGATATTTAAATAATGTTTTATATAACTTCTCATTATTTTTTATGTATTTTTCATTAGTTTTACCTTTGAATATTACATGCCTAGAAATGTATAAAAATTGGCATATTACTAATTTTGAACCCCCATAACTATTTATGGGGGTGAGACCGCCACGAACTTTTTATGGTACAGTGGTGGGGGAGACCTCCTCTTTTGATCCCCCCCACCCCACTCCCGAAGAAGGATCATCTAGACCTTTACCAAAAATTTATTAATTATGGTAATATAAAATATTCAGAGTTACATACAAACATGGAAAGGGTATGCAGGTTGAGCCTGCCCTGGAAAATTTAGAGCCTGCCGTAAAGGTCTGCCCGAGCCCGTTACGGATTCCAAATTTTTACGCGCAATTTTTGCGCATAAATTCTGAGTTGTACTTTCTCTGTGTTGACAAGGATTATCCGAGACTCTCTGCCAACGAATACGTATTTTAAACAAACTCTATAGATGATTTTTAATTTTAGGACCCTCAGCCACCTGAACCTTGGAATGATGTGCGAGATGCGACAGAAGAAGGCAATAATTGCTACTCTAGAGATATGATATTGAAGTCGATAAAAGGTTCAGAAGATTGCCTTTTTCTCAACGTATATACTAACCAGGTAAGTATCAATTTGGAATATGACATCCCCCATCACAAATCCATAGTAGAATAAAGATTCGGGCTACAGGGCCGTGGTCTATGTGAACTATTCTGGCCAGACGTTTCGACAGCGACCCCGAGATATAATCTACGTTCACATTGTCAACGCAGCACTACCACTGAGGGTGTCAGTCGCAGTAGCCGACGAAACGTCTGGATAGAATAGTTCACTTAGACCACGGCCCTATGGCCCGAATCTTTGTTCTACTATCAATTTGGAATATTTAAACTCATAAGAAATGGTAGTGAAGATAGAGGCCATAGGTAATTCTAAATAAACTCGGAAAAGTTGGAATTCCCTTAAAGTTATGGAGACCGTGTTGCTTATTGAATATTAAGAAGCATGGTCAGTAATTCATAGAAACTACTAGTCGTGGATCGCGATTTCAATCTTGTTACATCACTCGCCATAATTACCATAAAGTGTGGTCACTGCGGACAATGTTTAGCCCAATATTGCGTTGACAATGATAAGATTAGAAGTGGGCGAAACACGTGTCCGCAGTGGCCAAGTTTTGTGGTAATTATGGTGAGTAATTTAATAAGATCGAAATTGCGATCCACGATTAGTAGTTTTAATAAATAAAATAATGATCATGAATTTATACAAGACTTCTTAATATTCAATGAACAATACGGTTTCCACAACGCGGACACGTGTTTCGCCCAGTATCGCGTTGATAATGCCCAGATTAGGAGTGGGCGATACAATTAGGGTGAGACTCTTTTGGATTATTGATTCCTTTACCACATTTTCTACTATAGATTGATACGGTTTTCGTATGGGAGTTGTTAGAGTTATCACTTTTAGGATTCCAAACCTCAAATTCTGGACATGTAAAAAACAAAATTCTTACAGGATCAGTTTGTTGTCTTTCTGTCACCATGTTTAAATTTGGAACGAAAGAACAGTATTAGGGTCATAGACTGTACATAAAATTTGAAAGCTCATAATACTTGAACAATTTACATGCAGGGTTTTTCTTTAAAGGAAAGAAAGGGAAAGATCGAGTCTTTTAAAGAAGTAGAAATTTAATATTTAGCACGTATCCTTATGGAGAGAAGTAAATATTAGGAAGGGAGTCAGACAAGGATGCACACTGTCACCGCTACTTTTTAATCTATACATCGAAGACGCGAACAACATCCTTAAAGACAGGACAATTGTAGGGATAGACATATAGGGGAAAAAATTTAGTGTACTTAGATTTGCAGATGATATACCAATGTAAGCATTTAGCAAGGAGTAGTTAGAGATAGCCTTAAATAAAATCGAAGCGGTGTTGACAAAACAGTATTGTATGAAAATAAATAAAAGTAAAACGAAAATGCTGGTATGCAAGGGAAGAAAATGTAGGGAAAGAGCGAATATAAAAGTAGGGAACGAAAAATTAGAAAAGGTGGATGATTTTCGGTATCTAGGAAGTCAGATAATTTAGGATGGAAGGAGCAGTAGAGATATAAAACAGACGATAGCCAGGGTCGACTCGCCTTCATCAAAAATAAGTCACTTTAATGCTCCCGAACGGTTAATTAGAAATTAGAAAAAGATTATTAAAACTGTATGCCTGGAACGTGGCGCTGTACGGATGCGAAACATGGATAGTGAGTGTGACGGAGAAGAAAACGTTAGAAGAGTCGAAATGTGGTGATACAGGCGAATGATGAGGATAGCGTGGATAGAGAGGGCTAAAAATGACGAGGTATTAGAAAGAATAGGAGAACGGAGGACTCTAAGGAAGTCAATACGAAATAGGCGAGATAGGTTGGTAAGACATTGCAGACATTAAGGCCTAGTCAGAGACATATTAGAAGCAGAAACAGGAGTTAAGAGGAGTAGAGGTAGACCTTTTCACCCTGTTAGGTATTGAATTTCGAAATACTCTTCCATATTCCTTGTATACATAAAAGAAGAAAATTCTGTGCTTTTATGTATCTGTGTATGATTCCCGAAACTAAAATTTAACTGATTGTATTTTATTACATTTTCGTAAGTTGTCTTCTCAAACCTCTGTACATAAGCCGGTAATGGTTTGGATTCATGGAGGTGCATTTATAACAGGATCAGGACAAAAGGCAGTTTATGGACCCGATTTTTTGCTTAAGGAAGACGTTGTCTTAGTTACCATTAATTACAGAATAGGAGTTCTAGGTACATTTATGGCTTATTAATTTGGAAATTATTTAAATACCTTTTCAATGACTAAAATTCGTTGTAGGATTCGCAAATTTTAAAGATCCATCGTTAGAAGTTTCTGGAAACGCAGGTCTAAAAGACATGGTGCTAGCTTTGAAATGGGTAAAGGAAAATATTTCTGCTTTTGGCGGAGATTCAAATAATATAACGATATTCGGTGAAAGCGCTGGGGGTGCAGCGGTACATTTCCTTGTTTTATCTGCAAGTGCAAAAAGTAATTTCTTATAATTTTACTCGTTTAGATACTAAACTAATAAAGTATATTGGGATCCGTCAAATGGGAGGAGCCTAAAAACATGGCGCCGATTAGGGAAAATTTATCGTAGTTCCTATAGTGTACCGTGCAATTTCCAAGTTTTTAAATTACGATAAAATGATAAGTATTGACACAATATGTGATTGGGCTGACACAAAGCCTCGGAAAGGAAATTTCGTTGAAGGTGAGCGTGTTTTTAATGCCAATCACATTATAAAATTCGGAAATAACAAATCCGGAAGCTAGCCTTCAAATTCCGTCAAGTTTACTGCCTACTTTTTACAAACTTCGGATTTAAAAAGTGATTCACGTTATATAATTGGTGAGGTGATTCTGGGTGATTTAAGCAATATCATATCAATGACTTGCACGTGCAAAGCCGATTTAAGAGAACGTTGCAAACACATTATTGCAACTTTGTTGTATTGCAGCAGGTAGGTTCTTAACCTCAAAATACTTATATCGTATCATTAGAATTGTGTTAAATCAATTACACAGGAATAAATAATTTCTCACTTTATAATTTTAGTATGATTCTAGTTTTAAATATTAAGGTTATGGCTGATGGTAAATACTTGCTGAAACATAATCATGTGCATTAAAATGACGTGAACAAATTTTTATTCCGGAATGGACTTCTTTGATACCTACTGCTTTCATCCAAGCTTCTATTAGTTTACTTTTTTCTCTAATTTTCCGTATAAATTTTTTAAAACGGTTAGTTTTTATTGGAACGAAGTTAATGTAGGTGAAGAGTGAACATCTATGTCTGAAGTGTTATTGCAGCTTTACACTGAACATATTAACTTTTTATTTGATTTAAGTTTAGAAGAAAACTTCGTCGACTCCATCATTTTTACTTTTTTAACGTGTTTTATTATTTTAATAAACAATTTTACAATTTGCGTGCAGTTCCTATGTAAATTTTTCCCTCATTTGAGTTATAAATTTTGCCACCAGATGGTGTATGCCCATTTGACGGATCCCAATAGAAGCCATAATAATTTTAATCGGTCTAGAAATAGAATGCAACAAATAGGCAAAACATGTAGAAGACGAATGAATGATTTTTATGGTATAAAGGTGAATACTTATTTTTCTTTCAGATTTATTTCATAAAGCAATTGCTCAAAGTGGATCCGCATTGAACCCATGGGCAAGGGGGAAACCTACAGCTGCGTTGTTTGCTGAAGTTCTAGGAATCGACGATTGGAACGAAAAAAAAGTTTTTGATATTTTGAGAAGCCTTCCGGTCGAGGAACTCCATCAGGCTCAGGAAAAAGTCAAAGACGTTAGTATGCCTAACACTAATTATAATGTTGTGTAGGTCGGAAAAATGTTTGCTTCCAAATTTTTGAGCGGTACTGTATGTAGCAGTGGCGGATCCAGAGGGAGATAAGTGGCAGATATTTCTTCAACCTCTCCCTTTCCTCAACAGTTCTATGACTTATGGGTTGCTATAGAACTGTGAAAAATGTTAACGTAAAAAAAAAATTAATTAGAAAATTTGTTCGCGAATATGAAAAAAAATGACTATAAAAAAAACATTTAAAAATGCTACTCAAGTTTCAAATGTGTGTGAAATGTTAACTCCTCATCATGATAAGGTCGTCAGTCCTAACACTAGTTGGACAAAAAAAAACTTTTGGGTGTTTCATTCCCACCAGCCAGTAATGCTGGTGGGCGGGCAGTCCCTCCGGACTACGCCGGAAGGTAGGCCGGAAGGCCTTCTTCAGCCTGCTTTCAGGAATCGTGGGTGGTGGTTCGGGTGAGAAAGATGAGACGGACGAAATGAACACAGACAGACAGAATGAATGATTATCTGTGGAATATTATTGCCTCAGCATTTGCCTAAGTGATCCAAGGAAACCACAGAAAAACTTGGACCAAGGCAAACGGACCCGGAATCGAACCAGCGTCCTCCCGAATGCTAAGCAATGGTCTTAACCTCTAGGCCAGTGTTTCCCAACCTTTTTTTCCTCGCGAACCAAAAGAAAGGCTCGAAAAAATTTGACGAACCCCCTATATAGTCGTTAATGACAGGTAAAAAACAGCAATAAAATTTGATAGAATATATATTTTTCATATTGCAGAATAATTGATTATATTAATCGTGAAACATTTAAATAAAACATTAATAAGACTTAAATGATGTAAATGTAGTAAACTGCCTTAATTTGATATTTATTTCCAATTGTATTGTAAAAAAAATATTACATAGAAGGGAAAACTGCTAAAATGATTTTAAATATAAAGCAGAACATGATACTAATCGTATTGATAAAATGTTTTAAATATAAATAAATGTTTGTAATAAAAAGAGAATAGTATTTGATTACTTGAATAAGAGGAATAAATTTTAATGTATAAAATTGTTGATATATTTTGATATTGATGAAGTAATTTTGAAAAACAAATAAGTAAAAAAGAAATGAAAATATTGAAATTTATTATAGATTTCTTAACAAACAGGCATTTTATTGGCGTTTTAAAAAATC